GAGGAGGTTGTATATCAGTTGTAAACATCTGCCATTTACCTTGTTACAACCATCAGCTGGACTTTTCTTTCCATGGCAGTGGCCTCAGTAACCGACTGTTCTATTTATGCATGTTCGTCTTTTAAAAGGGACTCCTTAGCTTATATAGATCTACCAACATGAAACAATCAATTTATTGTTACCTCTTTTTCTTTCATTCCATTGTCTTTCGCCCACATCATTGCCTTCGTTTTGTTTTAGCCCTGTTTTCGTTTTCATCTTTTCTTTCCAGTTTACGCATGTCTTTTCAGTCAGAGAGTACAAAACAGGTTTTGAAACCTACAACTATTTTTTTTTATTTGCAGAAATTTTGTATTACAGACACACTTGACGCAGCATGATCGACAATTTAGGAAAAAAAGAAAATGGAAGAAGAAAACAAAGGGGGTAAAACGTTAGCCAGATGACTAAGAACGGGATGTCTTTTTAATAGATTTATGTTTAATGCATTTAATTACATCTCACAAAAGGACCTTAACAATTGGTTTCTTTTTTTTTCTTTTTCTTTTTTTTTCGCCTTTTTTTGGACCCAACCCAATTCTATCATCAGGCGCTTTTATGTTTAGTAACAACAAAGTGTGCTACATTTTGGGTTTTGAAATTAGCTGTTAGTCATAGAGTAAACACTCAGGAAAATGTTTCATAATAATTTATAGATAAATACATTAATACATATGTTTCTTCATTCTTATGACGTTTTTTCTGTGAGTTTCACATCTAAGTGATACCATACCCCCAACTGGAGATGGCTACCACAACTGGTTAGTACTTAATTGTTAAGATCATGTTAGTCCTACTTTCGTCAGCTCTTTTGAGTCACGAGGTGGGCACCCTCTGTCCCGCTCCCTAGCGGAGTCATCTTTACAGTGTCACCGAAGGCTTTGGAAGTTTGCACGAAGTCTCATACTATGATGGTGACTTTGTCAGTATTAGTACCTAAACTACTGGGCCTAGACGAGTTGGTAGAAGGGAACAGAAAGAGATGCAAATTTTGCTTGTATGGGGGTAGTGTTTTTGTGTTTGCATCTGCATGTTTTATCTTTTTAACAATTGGTTTCATTGCTCAGCGTGCGCTTCACCACTCGGTGTATGTGTACATGCATACAGGGTGAACTAAATGATTAATTAAGTCATCGTATGTTAATCCAAGCTGTTGCAGCATGCTGTTGAGCAAGGAAAGTGCTAATTATGCTACATACACAGATACCAACATTCAACCTCTTTATCATCATGCTGAATACCGAACAGTGACTCTCATCACTGCGCATCTTCTTAGTTTTAGGAAGCATTGGTCTTATTTGAGTCTCCAAATTTTAAATTATATGTTTGGTTTTTTTGTTTGTTTTTGTTTTGTTTTTGTATAGTGTTTTACGGCGCTCGCAACTGCATAAGATCATATGAGCGCCCGGGACACACCTAATATTTTCAGT